CGACTCGTGTCCATGTGTTCGGACGACACGAGTCGCTTTCATAGTGTGCCACTCCGGCGTGCCCGCCAACTTCGGTTACACTCGGCTTTCCTCGAAATCCCAAACACACGGACATGGAAAACTTTCATTGTGTGCAATCCCAGTGGCACAGGGAGAGGGTAAGATTTACCCACGATCTGACAGCACTGGTTTAGTGTTAACAAAAAAAAATAAAAAAAACAATTGAGATCATATCTTGAAGCGACGAAAGCGGTATTGAATCAATTCGTCACAAGAAGATGCGCGATTTGGATTACGAATAGCAGTGAATTATTTAATGTACATTTTGAAAACTTCTCCATGTATAAAATGAAAAATTAAATGTTTTTAAAATTTTTCCAGGTCTAATTTACTTATTTAATTTGTTTGAAAACATTTTCTGATTTATTTCGTAAATAATTGATGTATTTTCTAAGTGCGACTTTTTTTATGCGGTCCCTATCCACTGCACATAAACAGATTTTACTGATTTGTATATTGCAATATTTGCTATTATTACGTAATAAATTCATTTATAAAGGAAAAGAGCGACCAATAAATTTTCTTACCAAGAAAGATAAAGGTTCAAACTTGATGATATTAATTTTTTAAATGTATAAATTATTTCAATATACAATGTAAAAGAATTTAAAAAAAAAACCTTTTATCTTGTAATTAAAAATGTATGCTTCATTGATGAAGACAACATATTGATGTATTAATTGAAACATTTGTTTTTTACTACTAATGAAATAATGACAAAGTTCAGTCTTTGGTTTATAATAGCTGACACCACATATACACATATCTATTCTGTACAATTTGAAATTAAATGAAAATAAATTTTTTGTACTATAGAAGATTCAAAATGCGCTTTTAAATACACTTTTAATTAATTGTTAACAGTAAAAATATTGATAGTATACAAAGAAAAAAGTTGAAAACCAAAAACTTATTATATTTTTATATAAGCTTTTATGGTTAATAATGATCTTTGATAAATTAAGGTTATTATCAACATATTCAGCACAAAAAAATTGAAACTGCACAGATAGTATGCACACTATGTGCTTTATTATTTTACAAGTATAAAGTCTAGTATAAAGAAAATATGGCGAAATAAGTGTGACAATTTGTGTATACACAGAATCCTATAATTTTGAAATATAGTGTTCTTATATAATTATAAACTGTAATAAACTCTTTATTTTACAGTTTTATGAAGGGTTGTCTCTTGCCCGCTTTGCCTTCACCTCTTTATTTAATGATTATAATAAATGCAAGGCTACTTTAATATGTATAAATAAAAATAACTGGTTTGATTAATGAGCTAATTTTGTTGTTCACTAAATGTAACCTAAAGGATAAAAATACATGATTACTATTTATTTTCTTTTTTTTTTTTTGGTCAGTAGCAGATTAAATCTTTACTAAAATTTTATAATCACGCATGCGTTGTTCATTCATCCTTCTTTTTTCTTTCTTTTCCTTTTTGTCGTTATTGTTGTTATGAAACCTTACACATACTCATTATTATAATTTGTGCTCTTATCCTTACATTTTCACTTGCACGCAATATATTGTGAAAATGAAATATTAACATAATGTCTCTACGTACACGCGTATCGTATAGAATCTATATGAAACAATATTGTCATGCGAAATGACAATGAATATCTCTTAACAAGAAATTATTAATACAGGGAATTTCAATGGTATTTTAATTCTGTGCCCTGCTCTCTCGTTTCTATTTTACTAATAAAACATTATTTATCTCTATTTTATATATGTATAAATTTCTTTGGTCTTATTTTTCTCGTTCAATACTCTCTAAATTTGCATATAAACATATCTTCCTCTAACTGTCATGGATTGTTACAATCACTGATTCGAATAGGACTGCTTTATGGTGATTCTGATAATTGACGTGTAATATATGCGAGGCGTATTAGGAATTGGAATCCAAAATAAAATTTCTATAGATTTATAAAAAATTATTAATAACTCGATTTCTCTCTTTCTTCGTCGTTACGAAAGAAAATATGAGTCTACGAGTATTTTGATACATTATCTATTCAACAACTGATAATTAGTCTAATATTTTTATATAAATAAAATAGAGTATAATCTTTTTATATTTGTATTAGTATTGATTTTTTAAAAGTTTGATCCTTCTTATTGGCATTATTGGCACATTTATGTTCAGTATACATCAGTTGTTAATTTAATATATATTATCGTGTGCAATTTTTTTTTGTATAATTATAAATGATATTAAACGTATTTTATTTTTGTTAAATTTTTATCAAAGTTTGAATACGGTAATAAATGTAATCCAAATTAGGTGTTGAAACAACCTCATGACCATTATATGTTTTTGATCATTTTAAACATTATTTAATGTTTCTTATTTTTAATTTAACTGTGTACCTGTATCCATTTATGTGTTTTGTTTAACACATTATTTATACGTATTATATATATTCTTCATAAATAATAATTTGCTTAAAGAATATATGTGTATATATACACATTACTTACGTACGTATATACGAAAGTACAGAAAGCTCTTATAATGTCTACTTTTTTACTTACAAATGAATAGGAGACTAGTTAAAACTTTGACTTTTGTTTTGCCAATTTTATAAAGACATCGTTTGAGTCAAAGCATTAACTTGCTTTAAAAATAATATTTTCTTAGTTATGATTTCTCATATCAAAGTACAAAACATTTACAATCGGGAGCAAAATAAACTAACAAAAATATTCTAGCGCGTCATAAAATTTCTTTTGCCTATACAACTACAATCTTATGATTGTTACCATTTGGCAAGAGAACATAATAGACACGCTTCCCCTTATCTCATTGAAATTCTGGTATATTATTATGATATTGACTATTATTAAATGAACCATTAGTCTGTTCACTTCTTTCAACAACGTTTTGTATTTCCACTGTAGGCCCATTACTTGACTGGCCATTATTGTCATTAATATTTCCTGACGCAGCAACATTATTCCCCACAACATTAATGCTGTTGACAGTATTATTAGATTGTTGCGATTGTTGTTGCTGGTGCCTATTTAAAGTATTCTGTGCAGAATTATTATTATTCTTTCTATGTCTATATTTGTGTGCAGTAAGGTACTGCTTAACAGAAAATGCTTTGTGACACATGTCACATTTGTATGGCAAAGGATCTTGACAACTACCATCTGTGATATTTGGTGCGTGCATTGTTAAATGCATCGCATAGTAATGTTTCACCATGAAAGATTTTCCACAAGTTTCACAAATATAAGGGCCTGCTACACCATGTGTTTTACGATGTTTGTGAAGATTGTCTTTGCGTGAAAAGCTTTTGCCGCACAATTCACATTCATGCATTTTTTCACCTGTATGTGATACAGAATGTCTAACTAAATGTTCCTTACGACTAAAAGCTTTAGCACATGTTGTGCATACATATGGACGTTCGCCAGTATGTAGTTTTCGATGTTGAAATAAGTGTTCTTTTCTTTTGAAAGGCTTCGCACAAATATCACAATTAAAAGAGTTTCCATTAACTTGTAAAGTTTCTTCTTTCACTATTGAATCTGATCCTTCGCTCATCATCGTACAAGTATGACTATTCAATAAATTTACGGATGCAAAATTTTTACCACAATTACGGCATAAACTACTCCTAGTAGATTGTGATATAGCTTGAGGATTAACAGTAATTAAAGGTGTCTGTTCAGTGCCTGATCTGATTCTAAGAAATTCTGATATTTGTCCAATGGAAGTGCGAGACATAACATCTTCATTTTTAGTAAAGTCTTTAAAATCTTTTCCTTCATCTTGAACTGATTGATTGGGTAAAGATGTTTCTTTAAATCCTAAACTTAAAAATACCTCTGGAGCAGCTTGTACTGTCGTATAATTTTGACAAGGAGATGCGTTATCTTCTTTTTGGATATCTGTAACTTTTTGTATTATTTGTTGATTCTGTTCCACCTCTGTATCTGGTTTAAGTAGAATATTATTATTTTGTTGAACTTGAGGCGAAGGCTCTTGTTTCACGATAAATTCTTGTGATGTAGCTATTTGCACTTGTTGTTTATCTATTTGTTGAAGTCTATGGTGTCTCTGCAAATGGTGTATCTGCTGAGTTATCTGTGACTGTCCTTGTTGTTGATGATTAAGTTGAGTCTGATTTTGTTGTGTTATTTGAGTAGATTGAGTTAATTGTTGTGAAATTTGTCTTTGAGATTGTCCTTGTTGTACTACTTGATTATGATTTTGTATTTGGTTTGTAGTTTGGATTTGAGGAGATTGAGTTGCCTGTTCACTTATTTCATTTTGTGTTTCATTAGATCTTTGAGGCGATACACGTTGAGATGTTTGTTGTTGACAACTGTAATGAGCTTCTGCTGTAGCTTCTACAACTGCAGTTGACATATCACCATTTGATTGCATCTAAGTAAAATTAGAAGAAATTATTTTTAGAAATTCTAAAATACATTAATTAATCTAGTAATAATAATATATAGGTATATATAATTATATTAGAAATATTTACGATACACAAAACATACATAAGCAAGAAATTTAATTAAATGTATTTAACTATTACATTAGAAACAAACCTGCATGGCACATTTATATTGTTGTACCCTAGCTTGGACACCGCTGATGATTTGTATATTTGATGCATTAATATTGCTAACGACAACGGGTTGTTGATGTTGTCCATGTTGTTCGTCAGTTAGCACTTGATTTCCTGTATTTGCTAATATTTTCTCCTCGGACTTTAAACCTTCAGCGTCAGGAGTGGAAGATCTTTCCTTCTGAATATTTTTTACATACACTTTACCTTCTTTTAAAAAATCCTCAGAATAGCGGAGCGAAGTAAAATATGACTCCAGCATACCCTCTGCACTAACAACTGTTTCTCGGAACTCAATGAAATTTTCCAACTTCCTGACACACTCGTGGCAGACGATTTTAGGTAACGAATCCTCTTCTAAAACCTTGAAGTTCACACGAATACGGAATTGTCTTAATATATTGAAAAACCTTATATGCTTCTCTATGCGTAAATTCATTAAGTTGAATTTACAGAGAGAATTTTCATTTGAATTTAGGCATACTTAAGAATTTCTTATAAACTTCTTTATTGTATTTATTTATTTATATATGTATATATATATGTATATGTACGTATATGTATATTCATATTTTATTTATTATTATTTTTTTTTTCTATTAGTGGACGGAATGTTACAGTAATTTATAATTTCTATCATTGCTTGCTGTAGTCTAAAAACAGAGCAACTTTGATACCGCGAAGAACAAGTCCATTTCATGTCAAAAGCATGTTTCCTCACCTGAATGGGTAAACATGTTTGAATTTTTGTTTGAAGTTGTCGCCTTCGACCTTCATCGCGAAATATGTTCATTTTATTGCCTTCGCTGCTGGTACACAACCTGCACAGCTCGTAGTAATTAACTTTCCGATATCCAGACATTGCTTTCCCGCGGGAAACGAGTTATCGCAATTATTAGAAAATTGCGAAAAGTTTTAATCGCGACTAAACGCGTTCGAAACATCAATCACCGTTTTCCTTCGGCACTTTCAGTATCGTAAATTATCATAGAGAAAATAAAACTACTTCGTATCGTTGGTTGTATCAGTAGCCATTTGTAGATTGCGCTCTCTTAACAGTTATTCATTAACCCGCCAAAAATTCAAACACTTCAATCTCTGCTTCAATTGTTATTCATCTACTATCTCTAATTGTAAATTTTATATTAATAATACCATAATTTTACTTACAATTATAAATTATTATTATTAATATAGTGACTATTTTCTATTATTCATATTGTTACTGAATATTATTTATTTAGGATTATTATATTTTATTGTATATTATGTATATTTTAAATAATAAATGTTAAAATATAAATATATATTTTTATTTATTTCTACACACATTAATTAATTTAGAAATTATGATTAATAATATGGAAATTATTTTTTATCGATTATGTTGCTACTATATATTGTTTATTTAGAAAAACTATCTATTATATAAATAAAACATTATCAAAATATATATAAATTATATTATTATTCATTTCAATAAACATGAATTAACTTATTCAAATTCATGATATAATTATGTAGAATTTATTTATATATTTTTATAAAATTTTATTATTAATTAGGTTTATTACTTTTATTACATATAAATGGTATAATCAAAGTTTATTTAACATATGTAAAAAAAAAGCAATTGTTTATGCCCAATTAATATTTTAAATTTACATTAAAAGTAATGTAATAGAATAGGCTAATATACATACGTACTTGTGTGCGTATGTATAGAAAGAATAGTATATGAATATCGTTTCATACAGCAAATCTAATTGAGGTTAGGAGGTTAAGTTTCAATTCATGTAAATAAAGCGTGAGACATGGCAGGAAAGATTCTTCGTTCACTTTCCACTGATTTATTAAATATTAATGGTCAACAAATTCGATATGGTCATTTTTTACGTGGAAAAGCTCCAACAATTGCTCGTTCATTAGAACAACGACTGGAATGTAAATATTTCTTTGAATATATTTCATTACTTTGTTATATTCATTTTGACACGTTTGTTTTTAATATAATATCATTTCAATATAATTTGTTCTTTACGTATAATATTTATAATAATATATTCCATTACTTAGTTATATTTATTTAAATATACTATTTGTTTTCAGTGGCAAAGAAAAGAGAAGAGTATTTAAATAATCAAGTTAATATTGGTTTACCGTTTACTACAATACCTAAGAAAGCATTGATAAAAGAATGGAATGCGGAAATAAGAGCTAATAAGAAGGATTCTGAATTAGAGAAAAGTTCACGTAAATTGGCAAGTAAGTCTGTGAAATATCATTTTAATCATTCAATGTAATTTTCAATTTATACTTTATCAATTCTTTAAGTAAATATCAGTCAAATTTTATAATCTTTCTTTCTACAGTAAATATTGATTTACAAAAAGCAAGAGAGGTTTGGTGGGAAACAAATGGGCCAGAACATACTTATAGAATTGCAGAACATTATGGAATCTATCAACATTTGTATAAAGATGCATTTTTTTACCCGGTTATTCAATTACAAGTAAATTATGATTTTGGAATAGAGGATGTACTTGCTAGGGTTTATACTGGAAATGTAATTAAACCAAGTGAAGCTAAAAATCAACCTACTGTTAATTATAATGCTAACTCAGATACGTTATGGACTTTATTAATGACTACACCAGATGGAAACTTTACGGATCCTTCTAACGAATATTGCCATTGGTTTATGTAAGTTTCTATAATTTATATACTTTTTATATTACAATCGAGAAAATAAATTTTTTAAATATTTAATTATAGTGGAAATATACCTGGAAATGACATTGCGAAAGGAGAACAACTAGTCAATTATTTAAGACCAATACCATCGCGTGGTATTGGATACTGCAGATATATATTTGTATTATATAAACAGGAAAAACGCATCGATTACACAAAATATAAAAAGGAACAGCCTTGGTAAAGAAATATACTTTTTAATATACTAAGTTTGACATTTATTTATAAATATATTCAATAAATTTATTTTTTATGATACATTTCAGTTTAAATTTATTAGAACGTAATTGGAATACATTAGAATTTTATAAAGAACATCAAGATTATTTAACACCAGCAGGATTAGCATTTTTCCAATCAGACTGGGATCAATCTCTTACTGATTTTTATCATTATAATTTAAGTATGTGTTAATATTAATTATTTATATAGATTATATTTATATAAATTGATTGAAATAAAAATTTTACTATATATATTTTTAGAAATGCAAGAACCAGTGTTTGAGTACGATTTTCCAGAACCATATGTAAAGCCGCAGGAATGGTTTCCTTTAAAACGAGCTTTTAATTTATATTTAGATAGATACAGGGATCAAAAGGAAATAAATAAGGAATTTTTATTAAAGAAATTGAAAAAGGTTCATCCATTCAGAAAACCAGAACCACCATTGAAATATCCAAATGCTCATGCATTGCATAAATCTATACCTTCTTGGTTGAAAGTGGAAATGAAAAAAGAAAGACTAGGCTGGGGACGTATTAATAATATACAGTAGTATGTAATTAATATACTTTTTCTGTATAATATATAACATATAATAATAATAATAATAATAATAATAATAATAATGTTAAAAAAATATGTGCATAGAAAAATTTTACTATATTTACCTAAACTAGCATAAATATTTGCCATGTGTGTGTGATATATATTAAAAATTTTCTAAAAGGGTTAAATAATAAATAAATCTTCATATTAATATAAATTATTCAGGTTTCAAATTAGCTTCTACCATTTTTCTACTTCGAGTTTTGACATCAGCTCGAGTTAATATATTTGGATCTATGAATTCATGTTCAACGATCAAAGCTGAAATAATTATGGCATTTAGTATATATTTAATATTTAATTTTTAATTTATATGATATTGATTATGATTCTTACAATTTTTAAAAGTTGAAATTAAACTTTTAAATTTGTAATTTTTCGTGAGAAATTCCTAATTAATTATTTTAATGTAAATTACTCTTACATTTTAATATTTAGGAATACCTTATATACATATATGATTAAAATAAATTTCTACCTGGCTCTAATATGTCCTTTCCAAATTTGAGATTAGAGGAATAATCAGCGACATAACTTTGATATAAGTTTCTTGCTTTCTCATCTTTTTCTTTGTCTAATTCGAAATTGCTCATTCCGAAAAGAGAACCCATTTTTCGACTAATTTGTGCTAATAATACTAAGCCTGAAAAATGTATATATTAATACATAAAAATTGTATATATTAATATATATTATATTACAATATTCTATATATATTATTTTATATAATAATAAATAAAAAATGATTTTATTTAACTACGAGAAATTCAAATATAAATTAATAACCATCTGGTTCAATTTTATCTAATATAGGCTCATCCTCATCTAATTCATCTATACTCTTCGTCTTTTTCAACTGTCTTCTCTCAACTTTACCACGTTTGATGCAGACAAGCATAAGTAACATATTTTGTAATGCCGCTCTTATCTTCATTGATAATTCACCATGAGATCTTCTTAGTTCTTTGTAATCAACAATACGTTTCTTTTGAGCTTCAATCTCTTCCAACAAAGCTTTTTTATCTATCCTATATCTGACAATAAGATAAGAAAAATCTATATATGTTTGATTTATTCTCAATTACGAAATTAAATTTTTATTTATTTATAATTGCGTAAACATTAATTAAGTCTACATACTGTCCTGTTGTTGTTAGCATCGTGTGTTGAAGCCTTTCAAGAAGGGTAATAGCTTCTTCTTTTTTAATTACAAGATTATTGCGTTCTTTGATATTATAATTAAATTGATTAATCAAACGTGTTTTCTGTTTCATTTGTTCTTCGAGTCTGTGCATTGTTGTAATTATTATTTTCAAATTAATGTGATAACATTATCATCATTATCATCGTCGTATTATTGTTAGATATATTCATTAGTTTTTACACGTACCTTGGAAATAATTCGTTATGGCTTCTAACTAAAACGGTATCTTTTAATATTTCACAAATTTCTTCCAAACGTTTAACTTGTTTTTCTAAATGATCGGATTTCTCCTTAAAGCTGGCATTTTCCGTAATAAGAGCTGCGTCGCTCTGTGAATGCGGTATGTATACTTATACTTCTCTAAGAATCTAATTAATCACTTTAAATGAAAAAACAGTGGAAGATATAACATCCTAATGTGATCCCTCTTTTCAAGTTATTAAAATTTGATGTTTCAGGACTGCATTTATATTTTAGGCATAACATCATTATGAGGTGTCAAAAAACAAGCCTATTTCAGTTAATCAAATTTATACAAATGTTATTTATTTAATTTTTATTAAATAAAAATATACCCCTACATTATGAGTGTGTGTATATATTTAAAAATAAAATAAAAATAAATTAGTTCAGAAATAAATGAAAAAAAGGAAATAATTTAATAACAAAATTTTATCTTTGGATTTGTGATTTTAGCGAATATATAATACTAACTATAAGTTGTTTCTTTTTAAATTGTTATTATTAAGTAGTAACTTTTTAAAATATGACTTCATAAGGAATAAAATTTCAGCTAAATCTTATGGTAAATGCGGTCCTGTGTGTGAAATATAATTAAAAAAATATAATAGTTACTTACCTCGATTCTAACTAACGATTTTGCATATTCCCATAGATCGGTAACACGTTCGCGCGCAGTAATTAAAGTACGTTCTCTTTCTTTCATATGTTTTAAAACATCTCGAGTTATTATTTTATATTTTTCTTTTAAATCATCAACATTTTCTGCTCCCAATTGTCCCATTACTGTTGCTTTTACTATCACCTTACATTGATCCTTTTGATCATCTTTCAAAGCATTAAGAAGTGCATCGAAATACATTGTATCCTACACATTAAAACAAAAACATAAAAGAACAATAAAAAAATTTCTAATAAGTAAAATAAGAATTGTAAAAAACCCCATAAAAACACGTACTTTTTTTAAAATGTTAATCATTTTTATATAAGTTGTTCGTATAGCTTTAGCACCATTTTGTTTAGCTGTTGAGCGTTGCAAATAAGCAGATAAACGTTGATTCAAACGATCTGTTTGAACATCTTGATCCTCTCCTTCCATTAATACACATTTTTCAACCTTATTTTTTGATAATAATAAAATAAAATAGATAAAATTAGTAATACAATAGTTTAAATATTTTACTCTTTCTAATAAACGCGATGTACTTGTAAATTGAAATATTGTTTAGCTAATTTTTCTTTCTCATAACGTATCTTGTCCAATTGTCGATGGTATAATTCACTGTTTTGATAAATTCTATTGTGAATTTCCTAAAACATTGAAAGTTTTAAGTACTTTCTGAATGCTTTTTGAAAAGTTAGTTTATGTTCCTGAACAGTGATTGTGAATTTATAAAGTTTAAGTGAGCTATGAATTTTTAAAACGTTTTAATCAAAGTTTAGTAAATTGTATATCAAACAAAATTGAGATTTTAAATTTGTTCAAAATATCGTCTCAAAGAAAAAAACCATCTCGAAATTATCTTCTAGAATTTATCTATATTTCATTTTTGATAGAATCTTAAAATGTGGCTTGAAAATATAGATAAAATTCTTTTTTTAAACAATCCTGATTTATTAAAAACTATTGTTTTAAAGCAGCAGCGAATTTCTTATTAGTTTTCAATAAAATAATATTATTTATAATTTCGATTTTGTTATTCTTACTACTACGGATTATTTAAGAAATTTTTTAAATATAGAAAATATGTTATTTTCTCGGTATTTAAATTATTTTATTGAAATATTTGAACCCTGATTGTGATAAATGTAAAATTTTTAAATTTTCTTTTAAGTAACTATAAAAAACATTCGCCATCACTATTCTAAGAAGTATAGCACGTTTTATGTATATAAAATATCGAGAAATTAAATTACGTCTGGAGTGAGTTGACCAAAAGCTAAATGAAAGTTATCATATTGTTGTAATATCGCTAAAAGCTGAGTTTTACTTCCAGTTATAACGTCACGAATAATACCGCGATACTCTCGAACATCTGTTCGTATAGATTTCAAATTTTTCGATACTCTTTGCTTCAATTTGATTAATTCCAATGAACGAATCTTTTTATCTCGATCTGTGATAAAATATAATTTAAAGTATAGCAATCATTTTTTATATTTCTTTAAGAAGGTTGAAAATATTTCAATAGCAAAAAAATAAAAATAAAATAACAAAACAATTTTTTCGTAGAATTTTTATTTAATTAAATTCACTTAAAAAATTGTAATTAACCATATAACTTAAGAACTCCACGATATTGATTTATTTTGTCTCTCTTGGTCCATCGTTCGTCTGACATTTTGTGAATTTTGACATATTTTGTAGTTAACATTTTAATACAATTTTTATAATACTACAAATATTTCTTTTTTCTTGATGCGTATATATATATATATATATGCTGTTGGTTTATCGATTTTATGTGGAAAACACAGTAAAAATTCAATCCGCTAGTTGATTCTGTTAAATAAAGCAACACACCATGACTATGAATTTGGTTATTTCGATTTCCATAATCGATAATGTCAATATTTAAGTAAATAGAGTAAAGAATATAGTTATATACGAAGTCCACTCCTTTGAAAATATTTTTATTGGGTGGCAGGATTATTTCAGTATTACTCTACGTATATATATATATAATTATCAAAATCATGTAGTGTTTGCATTTTTTGCTAAATCTTTTAATATTTGCGCCATGGCTGCAGGATTATCTTTTGGTACCTAAAATTTATTATTTATTGATTTTTTATTCAATGTGTGAGCCGATAATTATAAAATTCATTTAATATAAGTTATTTGAGTAAGAAACATATTTAGTCCCAAAAATATTTTGTTCAAAAATAAATATATAAATAAATGTAAGATATTTTTCGTTAAGGTTTTAAAAATAGTAAAATATATTTCTATAGGGTTTCCTACGAAGTGTTCGCATTTAATTTAATATTTATAAGATACAAAATGCTTCCGTAAAAATATTTTTAATTTTTCTATAATTGCTTTATCATAAAAAAGAATTTTATAATTTAATTTTTTTTTAAATAATTGAAACTCTGAGAGATATTAGAATATCGATTTCTTTTTAAACAAAAAATATATGACTTATAATTAAATCAGTTTTATAATCATCGAATCATACGTTTAAAACAAATTATTATAAGATATATATGTAATACCATGTGTCCTGCTCTGTTGACCCAATATAATCCAAAATTACCGTATCTTTTAGAGTAACCTTCGATAATGCGATCAGAAACCAATGATAATCTTTTAGCATTACGCCAATTGTTAGAATTTCTCCAATTCATGTTATCAACCCAGAGTACTGTGCCTAAAAATTTTAAATCTTATTTGAATATTTGATTAAAAAAGAAAAAATAGAAAAGATGTAGTATAAATAAAAAAGTTATGCCTGGTGTATCAACGATGAGGTCCATGTGTCCAGTGTATACAAATACATTGATGTTAGTTTCATTCAGTAAGAGTTCCACTATAAAATACGATAACATTATGTATATACACATAATACTGAAGTAACATTTTTATCTAACTCGATGGAGATAATATAAATAATATGTACTTAAGCTTTCCGTGATATTTAATTTACTCTCGTGTGGTTAAATGAACATTTTATCTAAACCATTTGAAAGTATATCCTTGTGAAACAGTATACTTGGAGTTAACAAAAGATAATAATTATTATTATTATCCAACACATAACAGGAGGCAAAATTATTGAAGATATATAATCTCTCTCTCTCTCTCTCTCTCTCTCAAAATAATCTCATTGTGATTGTTGATCTCATTGTGATGTGTAATATACATGTATTACAATTGTGTTAAAAGAATTACCTTTATTCACAATCGGTTTCATGAAATCCTCCATCAACATAGTGAACACCATATTGGATTGTCTACCATGAAAAGTTTCAAGACCAAGTGCAGTTTTTACCGGTCCGTTCATTAAATCCTCTAAACTTCTACCATCTCGTTGAATCAAATTGTGATATTTAGCATCTGTGGTATAATCAGATTATTATTATTAATATTATTATTATTATTATTATTATTATTATTATTATATTTAAGTATCTTTCATATTTCATCAGTTGGAATAGCTTAAATAGACGGACTATTGTCAGATCTATTCATAAGTTACTATTGTACGAATATTCTTGATTTAAAGATTTCAATACCACATATATCTATCTCTCATGCTTTTGAAATTATTACCTTTTGAATTTGAATATGTATGTTATTTTGCAAACCGAGTTGAATTAGATACTTCGTGAACAAGTTATTATTATTATCATTATCTAATTGTGCTGTTTGTATTGTAGCACGTTAACGAAGCTGACATTTAATAATAATTTACTAATATTATCAAAGTTCTGAATGTTTTCTATTTTTTGAAAAATCGTCGTATTTATAGAATTGATAAAATAAAATCACCTCCTACGGTATAAATTGATGATAATCCAAGAGATCGAGAACGTTCGTAGGCAGGAGACAGTTTTGTTAGAATGTTATAAAAATCGATATTATCCGTAGCTTTGACAATGACATTTTCTGTGTAACTCCATAAAGTAGTGGCCATTGACCATCGACCACTATTAACTGCATCTTTAGTTGCGTTGGCTGATATTTCAATTTTTCTATAACCGTTAGAATCGATCATACCCTAAAGAAATGAAATATGAAATTTATTTTAACTTGGCAGTTATGATGATCGATCGTTTATAATCATGAGACAATTTATCCAATAGTATTACCGTGCTAAGTAAAAAAGGTGCCCAAGTCATAACAGAATCGATTGGAGATATCCAAGCATCACCGAGACCAACCCCTTTTAAATTACTTTTAATAGTACCTTTTTGCTGTTCCTATAAATTTAATATATTATATAATATTATATTATTTTTGTATTGTAAATATTTGTTAGCAAATGCAATTTTTCTACGAAACATAAATATATACTAAAATATCTAAATATATATATATTAATTTATGTATAATATATATAATTTTTTCTATGACAAAAAAATTTGAAAATAAAAACGGGATCAGACCTTATACCAAACTAGAGCAAATTCAGCCCCCATCTTTCCACCATACGATTCAGTTAGGATATAAGTAGGTACATTAGAAAATTCAGGTAATTTCTTTAGAAAACCTTTCATGCATTCAACGAGATCAATAGCAATTTGTTCGTTCGTTCGAGCATATGCTCCTGAGTTTTCAACATAGCTAAATCCAGTACCAACTGGATTATCGATGAACAAAACATTGTAATCTTTAATCTGTTAGAAAAGACACATTTTCAAATATTCAATGTATTTTTATAATACTTATTCTTATTTGGAAATATTCGAAAGGAAAAGAAACAAATTCCAACCCATGTATAATTTCTTGGTTTCAAATTTGTATCGAGAGGACCAAGTTCTTCAAAGTTTCCATAAGAAGTGGAAGATCCACCAGGACCACCTTGCAACCAAATCATTAAAGGTTTTTCGTAATACGATTGAACGTTGGCCGTGGTGTAATAAAGCCACCAGAACATATGGGAATGTTGTCTAACTGTTACATATCCCCAATCTTGTTCACCCGGACCGAAACCTACTTTTCCTAATATCAAAATTATTCAATTTAGTATTTTTTATTCTGTTTTTTTTTTAATTTTATTTTTTTATATATTGTAATAAAAATAAATATTTTTGTACTATATTAATCTCACCGATACTTTCGGAAAAAAAGCACGATAAAACGATAACAACTAACGTCACACGTTGCATCTTCACAAATTAGGATTTACGGGAACACTGATTGCACAGATTTTAACGATTGTATTTAATATACTGTCTTATCGATACAATAAGACAGATTAGATACGATTCTATACGTGACTTTTATGACAAAGTATATATGTATCTTTTAGAAGATTTTATAAGTAATTGGATATCATGATTTTCGTAATATGAAAAGAAAATATATAGATATATAGGTATGTAGGCGTATATACAATACTACGTATGATAATTTAGAGTATTCTAAATGTAACAGTATTCCATTTTCTAATATATAGATTGGATCTTATAAATTGGAACAAAATTAAATATCTCTATTGTATAAAATCTTATTAAAAAATTTCAAAAGAAAAAGTTGCACTATAGCAAGGAAAATTTAATGGTTGAAATAATTTTTTCTTAAGATCATTATTTTAATTAATAAGATTTGAAGGTTAATTTTCTTGTTTCTTTTTTAAATAGAACTATATATTTTTTGAGAGATATTCTTGTAGAGCATAAAAATATCTGCATGATCATATCATTCCAATCATTTTTTTTTCGAGATATTTAAATCCAAAGATAAGATTTTTTAAAGCTCAGATTCTGGTACAGAACTTTCATGGCATATTGTGATGCCTATTTTTTCGGAAGTAGAGGCATAGTCGATGTTTTAAGATCATCTTTATTTAAAAAAAATGGATAATCTGTTCTTTTCATCGCTTTGTGATAGCCGATGTTAAGACGGTTTCAGCAGTCTGTTAGTGAAGATTATTCAATGTCAAATGTGGTAGTAAAATAAACGTTCTTATATTACAGATGTTCGAAATTATGACCAATTGTATTAATGCAAAGCTGTAATCTTCATATTAATGACAGCCATTCACGTCTTATCATTTTTGATATGTCCTGTCATCACAGCAGTATATATATATATTATAATAAATCTGAAATAATACATTTATATTAAATTAAGACTATTCTTTTTCAAAAATTTTGAAGCCATGTCAAAAAATAAAAATTGATATGATCGACAAAACATATCGTTTCTATATTAGCCCACCAACGTATATATTATATTGTGATCAAATTAAAAAATTATATATATTACATTTTAAAGATATATTAAATTTATATTTTTTAATGTTATCTTCATCGAATATCATAATATCAAATGATTTGTAAAATTCAAATTTCTGTTCTCTTTTTAAATAATCAACAAACTTTTCCTATGCATATATATATGCATTTATTATGTGTGTTAACTTAATCGGTGTTCCAGATTCAGTTTCAATTCACGATTCGAAATGTTGCCAATATACCATTATAGTGGAAAAAAACAATAGGTATTGTATACAAGGTGTTTCTGCTTTTGAAATCTCTCTTATTCTCTCTCTCTCTTTTTCTTTAGCAGAAGATTTCAATGCCTTGTATTTCAATGAAGACACCAATATAGATAATTATATTTTCATCTACCTCGTTGTAAATACTTCATTCATCTTCGTCATTTTTATTATTGTAAAAAGTTAATAATCCGTTAATGGAACGTTAAAAATGTTTACTACTTTCTTGGAACAAAATTCTATTAAAATATTCAATTGTTTGTTATATTCTAACATTTTATTACGATAAACTGTCATTCAATCTCGGATCTTATCAATTTTTAACTTGTAATTTTTTTCATTTTTCTATACATACATTTAAGTATTTATGCATAAAAAATATCAAAATAATAATAAAGCTTTGAATACCATCTCATTTCTTTATTATTGCTTTATTACAATAATCCCATGTAGGGGATTAGTGCTATATACTTTTTGTTGGTTCTTGATGCTAATATGTCTAACAATCAGTTCGTGACACATTTGATTAAATAATAATACTTTATCTGGGATAATTAGATATATTTTTTGCTTTTTTTTCTTCTTTTCTTGTTTTTCCTTTCCTTTTGTTATTAACAGAGATTATATATCATTTCATTAATAACAATACACAACGAATAAAGTTGCATTGTATTCATACGTATAGATATTATTATATTTATTTTTTTCTATTTATCAATCATTGTTATTATCAATTAAGAAATGGCAGTAGTATTTTACATCATGCATTTTATCGAGCAGACACTATGGCAAAAATCATCAAACTTTATGAGAATCATTTGGAAATTTCTTTTTTTTATTATCAGAAAAAAGGGAATAACAAGGATATAGATTCGCTTTGGTGACTTTTATTCGACGATTGTGAGTGTATATATATATATATATATATATATATACGTGTAAGTTTACATGAACTGTCGAATAGAAAACGCATTTTTAAAGATGTTGTATCATTGATGTTTTCAGATTCGAACATTAAACGGACTCTGAGGGATCGTGTATCTTTTTTTAATATTTATTACGTTTAATTACAAGTCCGTAAATAATACGTAGAATTATATTATTTTCCATAAGTTGATTCAATTTGAAGTTCAACCAAGAGTATACAATTAACATTAATAAAATATTTAGTAATCGTGTTTACCTTGTAATATATAATTATTATTATTTTTTTCATGGAATCACTTAGAATTATTAGTTTAGATTACAAAAATACGTAAAGGCACTTGATAAGAATTTTTTAGTTTTTTTTTCTTTAGATTTTAATTTTTCTTTTGGTTTATTTTATACAGGGTTGTAGTCGAAAGGTTCTTAAATGGACCAAAAGTACTTAGGTGATTTCAAAAATTGAATACTTTTATTTCAAGACCTTTTATGCCAATTTTTTTTCAGATTGCACAATTACAAATTTAGTTTATACAATTGCAGGCCTAATTGAATTTCTAAGATATCTCGAGTAATTAATTTGCATAATCATATATGAAATTTTGATCTACTCAGAAACTGTTTTAAAGTCTACCACCCTGTAGAATTGTTGAAAAATTTGTTGGAAATACGTTCTTAAATAAAAGAATTCACTTATTTTTTATTTATCGATAATAGGTTCTTCTTCTTTTCCTCTTTTTTTCCTTTTTTTTCTAATCATATAAAACACACGACGAATATAATCGATCGATCGATTGATCGATCATTTGTCCTTATATGATCGAATCCGACATAAATAGATGAAAGGTTTTTTTTTCTTTTTACGATAATTTTATGCTATCAGACAGATTTTAAGAGAACAGATACACTTTTATTCTTATTTTTTTTTTTCATTTTCTTTTCCCATTTTTTTTAGCACCAATCACAATATACTTATACTTATGACTAGATAAACACATTTGACAAATGAATTGCGACAAGATTATTATTATTATTAATTTTCTTTTTACTTATTTTATTATTTTTGATTTTTCTATGCTGTTTTGTGTTTTATTTTTTATAATAAAAAATATCGCCTTATAATATAAAAACCTAAATAAATTGCATATATCATATATAGGTATATATTTATTTATATTTATATATACATATATATTATATAAGAGTAAATTTTTTCTTCTAATCCGAGAAGTATTAAATTTTTAAGTACGAATCGCATTTATTTCACATTTTTTTGCTTTTTTAAGAGAGAACACGAAAAAACAGCAACACGATACTTTGAAAAACTTTGAAATATTTTGTATGTAATAGTACATTCGTATTTTGTAATAATAAAATTAAATATATAATATATAAATGTATATGTATATATATATAAATAATGTATATATACATTATTATATACCTACACATATCTATATATAAATATATATGGTAAGACTTTTTGTTAAACGATTATAAAGGAAGCGGACCCTTCAAACACGTAAAAGGGAGATTAATAAAGACTATATAAATATATATGTACTATATATTTATGTCTTAGAAAAGAAAGAAAAAAGAAAAAAATTCATTCGATATCATATTGTACAGATTACAGAAATTTATAAATTTAAGTGGCTTGCTAATTTGATGCCCTGGTCCAATCTTTCACTTTTCTATATACGTCCGTTCTTATATCGATTTGATCTATATTTATTTATTTATTTATTAATTTTTTCTTTGGTCGACACCGAATCGTTAGTTTTCTCGTTGAAAATCAAAATCTTCGAAAGAGAAAAACTACGTTTCGTATATTATGTATATAATATAATATAATACAGCTTATATCCTAAAAAAATCTTACAATTATATAAATATATATATATATATTTATAATAATAACCACGGAACACAGTGATTAACGAGAAGATTATTTTAATATTTAACGTCACAGAATATGTTCGCTAAGCGTCGATTTAAATCAAACGAAATTAATCTCTCTCGTGGGAGGTGAGAGTCAACGATTGACACACTCGATTGAAAAAAAGAAAGAAAGAAAACTCATTTGAAACGAACAGATTGGCACTTGGATTATAATATAAAAATGCATCTTTCGTTTGGCTGTTATCAGCGACATATATTCTTATTTATTTATATATTTATATATATATATATATATATATATTTTGTTTCTTCCTTTCCTTTATATATCTATTTTTTTTATTTTTATTATTCGCACTATCCCAAATTAATGTTCCTTTGTAACACTTGTAAATTATTATGTAACGTTTAATATATATATATATGTATCCACCAAGAAGATAAAGAGGCACCCTCTCTTCTACTTCCAATTCCCATAAAAATGTTTGTCCTTTTTATTTCCTTTTATTTTTTTTTGATTAGTTTATAACACATGAAGATCCTCGCAGTTTTTAAATTTGCTATCATCTCTTCTAAAGAGCGAATTTAACATTTGTTTAGCTTTCATGCTAGCTCGCACCACAACTCCAGATTTATTATACCAATGACCACTTCCCTCGCTCGCAGTATTACCACCACTTTGATTTTCCAATTGGCCTTGATCAATTTTTAGCCGTATTTGTTTCAATATACCGACCAATAATTCGTCGACGTTGTGTTTTATACCAACCGATACCTCGATGAACTTTGCACGATACTTACAAGCCTTATCCTTGCCGTCTGGTAAAAAGAAAACAAATTCAAAATTGAGAAACATTAAGAAGATTATATTTATTTATTTATATTGGATGGTTCAACAATTTTTAGGTGAGTCATAAATCTTCAAATGATTTTAAAAATTAATTACTTTATTTTATGACTGTTTAAGTTAATTTAGTTTTCAAATTATCAAATTACAAACTTAATATTGAATTTGAAAAGTTTTAAAAAAGGGTCGCTGATGTTTCAAGTTCATTTTGATAATTTAAAATTAAGAACTTTTGACCTATCGAAAGAATTTTGGGTCCATATTGTATTTTATATTTAAAAGACTACTATGTTGATAACTGCAATTTTTATTAACACTAAACGTACCATAACTGGCTTTAAATTTAGACTAAAAATATTTGCTTTCACTTTTATTACTTGTTTACACATTTAATTTTTAAATGAGAAAATTAATTATAAATATTATTTTATTTATGATTTAAGATAATACCAAATAGTTAGTTTCCTCAATTATACATATTCAATTATAAAAAATATAACCAATCTTTTGATCGGTTATCGTAAATTCATAAACCGTCGGTAGATTTAGTATTAAATGATGAAGGCTTTAAGTTCCTCTGTTTTTGTTTTACTTCCAGATAAATTCTTGTAATATTAATGAAATTAAAATATTGTTTTACATATTTTTTTTTTTATTTTACAAACCTGAGTATGGAACGACTCGAGAACGTGCTAGATCAACCTTATTACCCACGAGAATGACCGGTTTACCAAGATCTTGATCACGAAGGTAAGCCAAGTATTGTTCTGCTCTTTGAAAGGATGCCTTGTCTATTACTGAATACATCACTACGAAAGCATCAGGAGGTGGTATCTTCTCCAATTCCGTCTGAAATCAATTAAAACAAGTATTAATGTTGTGTTTGCGCTTACTTTTACACATTGTTGCGATCGATCAGGAGTTGCAACGTATGAACATTAATATAAAATTTATTTGTAATCGTTATTAAATATAAAATTGTATAAATAATTATTATAGTATTAGGTAGGTCAAAAGTGTCAAAATAAGCTAGTAGCTTTTAAATTATTTTAAAATATTCTTTTTCAATATTTTTTGACTCATTTTTACAATTAGTTAATAATACAAGTCTAGTGCGAGATACTAGAATCTGTAAAAAAAATTTGGCTTAGAAAGTTTAGGAGAAAAGTAATTTATTTAAAAAATTATCTACGTACTTTTGGTCGATTTAATAGATTGGTATTAAATATTTTGAAACATTTTACTAACGAATGTTATAATTCTATAAAATATTAAAATGATGAGCACATAGTAGCCGATTTCAACAATTTCAATTCTGTATTCAAAGTTCTTTAATTTGATTATAATTTCTTTTTTTTCAAGAAATATATTTTTCTCACCTTTGGATTGGGAATATTTAAAAATATCAATTCACTTTCCTCTCCATCAAGTTTCACAAAAACGGATTGTTCGCTTGGGACATCTGTAACAAAGACCAAGAGAGGATGAATTCTCTGCTAAATGAGAGACAAAGGATTCGACGAAGAAAAGGAGATATACAGAGATAGAAAGGGAAAGAGAGAGAGAGAGAGAGAGAGAGAGAGAGAGAAAAGAAAAGAGAAAAATTGAGGGAGAAAAACTTTCCAAAGGGAAAGAACTATATAGGAAAACTCAACGACTTTATTTTCATTTATTTTCTCATTTAGTTTTATACTTTCACGATTACTTTCAGACTTAAAGATGGTTTAATTGTGTTTTTATTATTATTTTTTAACTATTGTTGCATGTTATATTGGTTGACAATTTGTTAAAATTTGTTAACAGAATCTAAAAGTTCGCTAACGTATTAACAATTCTATTATAATAAATATGTGAATTATTAATTAGACATCTTATGTTTATCTTATGTATCTATGTATATACTATATCCAAATCTGAATATATATTTATTATATAATGTATAAAAATATTATTTTTAGAAAAAGAAACATATAAATATATGTGGGTGTGTGTAAGTCAACGGTGCTGGTTGAGAAAAAGAATGACTCGAACTTAAGTACAAGGGAGAGTAAAAAAACAAAGATATATGTGTTTAAAATAATTTGTCCCAGTATAATTTTTAATTTATAAGTAAAAAATAATGTAATATGATTTGTTTCTATACGTAATATGTATATTATTTTAATATTTTATTCTAATATAATATATATCTTATAAAATAAAAAATGTACTCTGTATATAATATATAATAATATAATATATACTCTCTCTCTTTTTCTCAATAATAATAATACACAATAATTAGAGATACTTAAATAGGATATTTTATTAAAAAGAGAGAGAAAGAATTAGAAAAATAATAAGAAGAAAATTGATCAATTGGGTGACTACTCGGGTCAATCTCTTCTGAACACATCCTTCTTTGTTGAATCGCTATTGTATGTCTTGGCTAAAGACTTACACAGTTATGGTTGCCAGAAAACGGAGGTTAACGTTCACCAGTAGTCAGTAAGCTTGCCGGAGCTTCTACTATCATAAAGGCAGACGCATTTAGCACAACGTTTAGCAGTTCACAATATTCCCCTTACTATTTCTTTTTTTCTTTTTCTCTCTTGTGAAATGACGATGGTACTAAGCGAGTTCGTTAAAGGGAAACTGAAAGAGCAAAGTATGCCGTGCAATAAATCCAACTTGCGTATATACATATTTCTACAAAAAAGTATTTTCGAACTTAAGCATATTTGTCATTTGTTTTTTTTTTAATTCTAATTAATACGAATTGAGTTAGGTTGTATATGTGTGTATATCTATGTATTTTCTTCGTGAAATGTTTTTAAGAATTTCGACGACTCCAATTTTGATTTGCCAATAGAAAATAAATTCCAGAGAATTTTATGATCTTCAAGCATGTTCTTTTGTAATATGACGAATTTGATGAACAATATGGCGGTTAATGTAGATAGATATTTTAGCGAGAAAACATGGCTCATTGTCTATTATTATTTACAATATTCGTCGTTGTTATCCTTTCAATTACAATGAAAACTAATCGATAATATTGGTGCCGTATGTTAAACGTGGATTTTAAGCTAGCATTAAGCCTAATATTAAAATATGCTAAAACAACGATATATATGCTATAAATCTATTTTTGTTTGAAATAAATCAAAGAGACGATAAATAAAGAGAAAGAGGGATTATATGATAAATAAAAGAACAATTTTATAGAAGAAAATGAAAAAAGAATAAGAATAAGAAAATGAAATGAAATTTTGATCATCAAAAGTAAAAGATGATATTTCGAATCCACGTATGGTACTCGTGAGGGAACAAAATTTATTTTGACGTTAACTACATCAGTCGTAGATAAAGTGTTCGAGGAGTTTAACGAAAAGAAAAATGACGTTTGGGTTTGAAGATAAAGTAAAGTAAAAGTAAAGTGAACTTAAGTAAAAGGAAGAAAGGAGAGTATGCCATCTTTTGTCGAGAAAACAGACGCCATAGGTTGTACGAAGCAGAGAACCGACAAAGGACGGCGGTACTATAGCCTCATAAAAAGGATTTTAAAAAGAGAGAGAGAGAGAATTGGAGATAGAAAGAGAAAGATATGCGAGGGTGAGTAAAAGTGCGAGTGTGAGTGGTGTAAGTGAGAAAGAGAACAGACGATGAACAGACGCGAACCCTCTCTATGATGTACGCTTATAGCACGGACCGACGCAAAATTAACCACAGCTATTTTCGATCAACTACTCTCTCTCTCTCTCTTTTTGTTCCTGCACTTTTCTTTTCTCTATACCTTCGTGGAAACTCCGCCAGGCACAACCGTTTTACTTCTGATTTTCGGTACTCACACATATGAGTCTTCCTCGAACATTTACTTAGAAATATTTTCTACGGATACAAAAGGTCTCCTGTTTCAATCGATAGATAAAAATAAAAAAAGAAGGGAAATCATTAGTTAAATGATTTCCTTCTAAATTGATAATAATCGTGTATTTTTGTATTCTATCTGTGTTTGGTTTATATTTTTTCTTTTTAAAAAAGACTGAAAATAATCCAAGAGAAAGTAGAGAGAGCAGAAATGGATAATTTTTGTAAATCGACATAAATCGCGTTGATTACATTTATCTTCGTTATTGTATTTTATTTTTATATAGTTTGTGTTTTTCTTTTTAAATAAATCATTGAACTAAAATGAAAAGAGGGACAATAATTGAACGATTTTGGTAAATTGAATAAATTCAAAAAAAAAAAACATAATCAATCAATTGGGGATTAAGTCATGCAGAATGAGTATTATATTTCATTATTATATTAAATTTTTATTGTATGATATTGATTAAATGTTTTATTTTACAATCATTTAAGATAATTTGGACCTATCTAAGAATTTTTAATAATATTTTCATATTATTATTATTATTTTATTTATTATATATTTTCTCTTTTTCTTTCTATTTTTACATATTTTTTTATATCTATTTATTTTATAAAAAATACTATCCTAAATGTACTCAAAGAAGAAACAAATGATTTGTTCGTCTATTCTTATCATAATTATTTATGTAGGGATAAATATTTTAATGGTAAATTGCATTGTTTTTTTTTTGTTACATAATAAAAACTAATAGATAGTAAATATCGGAGTGAGATCGGTGACCTATTTGCCGAATATCTTTACGGTTTTGGCTGCATTCGTTCCGTCTCTGTGTATTCTTTCTGGCGCCTAAACTTCTATCATGATTCAACACTTTTTATATGTTTCGAAAGAGTGTTTGTTTTTTAAATATTTCATGTTTGTTTGCCAAAGTTTATCAGTTCTTAAAATACGTAAATGCATTTATTTAATTGTTAGTATGAGTATTTTACATAACAATATTTAATATAAATCATATTACATTTTTTCCGTAAAATTTGATAATTTATAAATTTTTTTATTTGTTTATTAAATAAATAAGATTAGAAATATTTGATTTCAACGAAATATCCCGTATTTCCATTTCAATTGAAATGTTATTACTTATTTTCAATCTGAAAATTTTGTAGAACCCCACTTATTACAGGGGTTCTCACTTTTTCAATTTTTTACCATATAAATAAGAATCAAAAAATACAGGATGAATCTTGTAACTGGGACGGGTAATAACTTTTTTTTATGTAACAATAGAAAAAAATCATAAAGGAAAAAATTATATGGCACAACAAATTTCAACTTTCTATGACCTTACTTTTTTTTGAAAATGCATCAATGCACCCGCTAGATGCAGTTGCACTTACTTTTTAAATGGAACTCTAGATTTTTTTTATACCATTTGATTCCTTTTTTTATTCTGCGTAAAAGGGTATAAAATGAAGGTCATCGAAATGTCAATAGTTTACGAGATATTTAAAGTTTTATATCAGTATTGTATTTTATTAGATTGATTTGAATTGATATTGGAACAACACATTGTTATACGCTCTTTTAAATCATCGACTGATATAAAAGGACGTGAATACACATCCATATCGTTATTCGATAGAACACACTTTACATGTGGTGGATGATATTAGAAGAATGCGTTTTTGTTAATTTTTTCTTAGACAAGTACAACGAAGGGAAAATTTTGCAGAAAGAATTTTATGGACAGATGAATGCACTTTTACGAATAATGGAATGTTCAATAGACGCAATGAACATACATGGTCTAAAGGAGCGTATAACAATGTATTGTTCTAATATCAATTAAAAAATGTAATAAAAAATGTAAAAAAGCGCATTGGAAAATGTTTAGAATGCAATGGAGGAACATTCGCACACTTGTAATAAAATACATTGCTGATTTAAAACATCAAATATCTCGTAAACTATTAACATTTCGATGATTCTCACTTAATACTTTTTAACGCAAAATAAAAAAAGGAATCGAATAGTGTAAAAAAAAATATAAAGTTTCATTTAAAAAAAAAGTGCAACTGCATCTAGCGGGTGCATTGATGCATTTTCAAAAAAAAGTAAGGTCATAGAAAGTTGAAATTTGTTGTGCCATATAATTTTTTCCTTTATGATTTTTTTCTATTGTTACTTAAAAAAAAGTTATTACCCGTCCTCGTTACAAGAATCACCTTGTATATATACCACCATAAAAGCATTTCCCTATTAAAAGTCAATACATTCTAAATAGAGCGTTTATAATCAAAGAATAAAATATTTAAAAAATTTACATTTCTTAATTATATTAGTAAATTAAACTCGTTAGAATATTAAAAAGCATTTTTTTGAATATTTATTGAAAGATTTTGGGTCAAAATTGTACCAACAAAAGTAACTTAATGTGTCATAGTTTGAGAAACTATGATTTAACATAATAAGTAAATAAGTACTTCAAATAAAAAAGCATCGAATCGATAGAGTTCAATTTCATAAAATTTCTTTGTTGAAAACGAATATTTTCTTAAGTGATTTTTGATTAATTAAAATACTATATATATACGTGTATCTTT